GCATTTAGTAAGTCTTCACAAAACCAAGGCAAGAGAGGTAGCGGGCAGAGCAACCCAGAATGAATGCACTCAGAATCACTGTATGATTCTGAAAATGGTTTTGGGATGGAAAAAAAGGGAGGGGGAAAGAAAAAAAAAATGAAAGTGATGTCTAGAAGATACTTAAAATGTCAAGCATGATATACGCAGTTTGGTTTTATTTTTATTGTACTAAGTATAAACACACATTGTAAATCATTCTTCAGTGTTAAACGCTTTACATGTGAATATAAAGATACCAGAGTTGATTTCCATTCTATAGTACTTTTATGCGAATCCATTGGCTTTAAAACTAAGAAGAAATACTTCCAAGGGAAAAAAAAATATCAAAAATTAAACATTTAATTGAATGTAGAAAGAAGTATCTTGAAATATCTGTGCCGCTAACCTTTTTGCATTTTGAAATATAATGGGACTATGGCATTTCGAAGCTCTAATAATGTGTTTTTTAATGTTTCATTTAAAGATGTATTTTTATATAGAGTATTCCTATGTACCTTGAAGAAAAAGTAACTTTAATGATTATGTAAAAATTTTACAAAGTGTTAAATCAGAAAAATGTAAATCTATTTATTTGAAAAATAATTAAAATTATGCCATACCACCTCAGCAATGAAAGGTTCATCATTCTCTCGTATGGTACTGTTAACAGCCTTGTGTTAAAAATTCAGAGTTCAGGGTCAGAGTTCTCCATCACTGACATCAGCACAAAATCCATGCCACCTGCGTGTGGGGAGCTCTGGGCTGCCTGAGAGGTGAGCCCGGGGGGCAGGACCACTGCTTGTGCCCCACGGAGCAGGGCAGGAGCCTGCAAAGCTGCTCCCCAGCGTGGCCGGGTGAGCATCAGCCCTTGCCGGCTTGGAAAGAGACACAGTCTCACATCCCGGAATAGGTGCAAACAGCACCTTGCTCGTACCTGACTCTGTTCCTGGGCAACATGTAGAGTCCAGGTGCAAGAGGTGCCCTGGGCTGGGCTCATGTGGGTGAATGAAGTCCGTGATATCTAGCAAATTGGATCTCAGAGATGCTCACCACAAATACTGTGAACTTTGGTAAACCTGTCCTTCAGTTTCAGGGCACAGCAGACTGCAGTGGCTAAAATGCACATAAGTGTCTCCAGCAGGAGACGATGCTTTGACCCAGGTAACTCTGCCAGAGCTAAGCTGCTTAGCTTTGGGAGCAGTCCTGTGAATACAAGGTTTGTCAAGACACAGCACAACTTCTTTCAAGGACTGATGTGAACAAGGTGTGGCCTTTAGTTGAAACAAAACCTCTTCCGACATTGATTCCTTAGTTTCTTCACCCAGGTCCTATTAGCTCTGGATTAATATCTACACCTCTGCCAGTTTACATAGCATCAGGAAAAGTTCATCTTCCCAAGCAGGTGGTGTGTCCTCACAAGCAGCACCGTGCCACCCAGTCTGCTGCTTCTGGAAGATTTCGAAATGCGTCTTCCTCCTTCCCATACCAAAATGCCGTGAGTGCATTTGATGTGCTGTATCAGACTTCTGCCAGATCCAGACCCAGGTGTGTGCTTCTGTGATCAGAAAAGGAAACTGCAGGGCTCTGGGTCTAGGCTGTAATTCCTGCCTCTCATTTATGGGATGGCCAAAGTTCTCCTGACACCTTCTTTGCTGTTTACCTGTAAGCAGTCTGCCAGCCATAGGATATTGAAGTTTGCAGGTTCTTTTTATTACAAACCTTTGTCTTCATATGCTCCCAACTTTTTGCTGCATCCCAACAGAGATGGAACCCTTTTGAACGTCACACCCTCCTGAGCTGATGAATTTCCCAGTGTTCAAAAGCACCTTATATATTTATTTAAATAAAGCTGCAAAGATTAGTGGCTGTAGTCAGAAAACATTCTACTAAATACCAATGTCTTGAAGTAACTTGATAGCAATCACATATAACAACAAGGTCCCTAAGCCCATCCAGCCTGTCTTTCTGAAGAAAGGAAGAGTCTTTAAGGGGCAGACCCAAATCAGCTTCACCTGAGAGCACCCACAGAAAGGATATGAGGGGCTTGCCCTGCCTGCAGAGGGGAGGGTGTGTTGGTGATGAGAGTTCAGCTGTGCTGCTGGTGTTGCTGGAAAGCTCTTCGAGGTGCAGGTACTCTTATTTGTTTGCTGTATTGGGGGGTTTTTTTGTAACACTGAGCTTTATAATCTCTCACGCTTCTACAATTTGTGGAAAAGGGTGTTGCTCATGTGTAGTTTTTCTTTTGTGAAGAAGTCTAGCACATCTTTATGAGATTTTTAACTTGTGTAGTTTCTAAACTTGGTCAATTTGTCTTCCTGTGTGTTCCCTCAAGGGACAGCTAAGAGGTCTGGCTTTGAGAGAAAAGTCTTTAAGAATGTTGATAAGTGATACAAGAGTATTCCCTATATCTCTCATTCCTCCTCTCTCCTCCTCCTTCCCAATCATGCATGTGCTGTGATTATGCTTGGAGTTGTAGGGGCCTTGGTAAGGTCTATGTAGATTGTGCCATATTACTACTACACCTTTGAAGAGTGACAGTAAAGGAAATGTTGAAGGCTTTTTGTTTCTTTTGCTTTCACAAAGGATGAGAATTTCTAAACTGTAAGCATGTTGCTGGCAAGATAAAGTGAATGTATAGGCTGTTGGCCATATGCCAGAAGTTTTCATTAACTTCTCAAATAAGTGGAGTCATTAAGAAAAAAAATGCTCTAGAAGTATCTCTTTATGTTGTAAGTGGCGATCACCTGCTGGGAGACAGGGGAATGAAAATGTACAAGTTTGTAATTAACAAGTAAAAAAGCAAAGGATTTTTAAAAGCTGCATAGCCTTCTTAATAGTGCGGTGAGCCTGTCGGCCTCATTAACGAGGGCTCACATGCATCAGTACTGTAATTAGAAAATGTGAATTGGTGTTCCCCTTTTCTTATTCAAACATAAGACAAAACTACAGATTCTCTCATTCGTGGAAATGTTACTACATACGGTACTTGTGTTTTTCTTTGCAAAAGGTCATTTGCCTGTAAGCCTTAAAATCAGAGAGCTAAGGGTCACTTTCCATAACATGTTCCTCAAAAATCTTCCATATTTCTATGCAATGTTGGCAATTTTTTATCCCACTGCCCCAGAGAGTGAGCCCAGAGTGCCTACAACCAGCAGGCTGCAGGACTCGTGCTGCTCTTCCTGTTTATTGTGGAAAGGGTATTTTGATTGTAATAGAAAGAATTGCTCTGTGCGATTAAGAGTTAATCCTTTACTCTCACTATTAGGACAGCCTGGAGGAATGCTTATGCCTGGTGTAACCAGCTCTGTTTCCAAGAAGCCCATTACTAGCCACGAATATCTGTCTCTTTATGGGCTTAGCTAGTTGCTGACCTGGACTCATGCTCCTGTGGGCTTTCTTTAATTACTAATTTTGTACAATATTACGGTATGTATATCTTGCTGCAATGCTAGAGACACTACAGCCATATTCAGAAATGCCTGTATGTTTTGTGTAGACACTCATTTGCAGGATAAATTAAGAAGAGAAACAACTTATCTGCTTCTTTAAAATCTTTATTCTAGGGTCACAAACTAAGATGAAAGATTACACAGTAAGACATAGCTCAGGCTCTTGACATTCCTGTTGGATTTCTAGACACTAAACAGAAGTTTCTACTTCTCTACAAAATGTTAATATTACCAGTTCACCATTTAAAAACCAAAAACCAAACCACCATTTCAAAGCTTCCAGCAGTTCTCCGTGCTTTTAGTACCCACTGAAAAGCAAAAACTCTATGTGCCTGTGCTTGAATAAGACTTCTCCATCAGAAGCGTTACTCTGCAGGTACTGCACAAGGCCTAAGTTTGTTACTGCCTTGTGGAGCTCTTTGTTAGCAGAAGAACCACCTTTTCCAGCTCTTTCTTCCAAAACAGCACCACAGATGGTGTGGTAAAACTACTCCACACACACCATAGTTAGTATTTTAAATAATTATTTTAAAAAGTGCTAAAATAAGACAGGCTAAATTCTTGTTCAAATTAAGACAGTATGACAGAAAGCTCACTAGACATGCAGGAAGTACTTCCACAGGTGCTTAAGATGGTTTCCCATCCACAGATTTCAGGACATCGGCATCTGGGAAACAGTGTCCATCTACTCGCTACACCCAATTCCATTTACAAATATAAAATTTTCAACTAGGCTTTGGAATGCTAATTTCTTGGATAATAAATTACTTTTCAAAAAAGCTGCCCTCAGACCTACAGGATTAGTACTTTATATTATGCTAACTCAAAGATTAACATTTTCATTCCAAAGATGAGGTCATGCTGCATGCAATTTAAGGCACATGTATTAAACCAGGTTCAAGTGCTTTACATATCCGAACTCATCACTGCACTTCAACCTCAACTGAGACTTGGTCTTTTTAATGTGCCTGCAGCTGTACAGCAGTCTGTCCTCTGCGGAAGAAAAGAAGTTGATAAATCAAAGTACAAAGACCTGGCTCTAACAACGAGAAAGCCAGTAAAATGTCCTGTAGAGAAAATGTAATCCTATCACAAAGTAGATGTACGTTGCCTCATGGCTGAAAATAACTCTCTGTAAATAAATAGAGATAAAAAACTCTCTGTAAATAAAAGGTAATTTATCAACCCCTACTAGCTGCTAGGGACTTTTCAATGACAATCGCAGAATACATAGTCTATGTCAGAAACCTCTGATGAGCAATTTCTGGCTTCTTGCATAATAAAGGGGATTAAACTTTGTCAGACTGAAGTGCTGAGTTTCTCCGGAATTATCCACAGCACCATGAGAACTGTAATTGTCTTGTCTGGTAAGAGGAGAGTTACTTGGGTAGAAGGGCACCATGTAGCAGGA